AAGTTGGTGGACACGAATAAGAAGCTGGATAATTCAACCAAGGATCTGATGGAGACGACCAAGAAGTTCGATAAATCGGCAAAGGATCTAGCGAACACGAATGAGAAGTTGGCGGACACGACTAAGACTCTGGATAAATCGACCAAGGATCTAGCGGACACGACTAAAAGATTGGATACAACGGCCAAGGATTTGGTGGACACGACTGAGAAGTTGGAAACCAAGACTGTAGAGTGTGAGACTCTTTGTGAAGATCTAGCTGCTGCCCGGGCGAAACAGGAGAGTAAATATCTAAGTCAGGTCCAACAACGTCCAATTTTGCCTGATGCATCCGGTGTAGCCAGTGTAACCGCTGACGCTAACCGTCTAGTACACAGCTTCCCCACATTTCGCGAGGAGCTCATGTTCTTTACTTGGCGCCCAGCGTCTAGTAAATATATGTCTGTTGGGCTACGGGCTGAACTGCTGCAAACCATGAAAAAATCTGATACTATTGTCCGCAGTCTGCAAGCATTGTCCATCAATTTGCAACCTTCCATAAAGGACGTTGTGGATAAATTAGTCATATTTGGTCAAGGTTGGAACACGTACTTAGACTGTAGTATGTACTGGCACGTGGATTCTCGGTATGCTTTGGACGATAAGGTTTGCGCCAACCGGACCTTGATTGAACAACTGAAAATGTATCTGTCCAAACTCTGAATCATCCAATGCGTGTTTATTTATTTATCACCTACTTCATTGCCGCCCTTTCTACTGGACTTTCGAACGGAATATTGCTTACTAGTAGGTGTTTATAGTATGAGGTGTACGAGAGTGTTGGGTATATTCGGTGGGGGGCGAGAATGCTATTTAGGCATAGCGTCGGGAGTCATGTTCATGTATATAATACAATTTTTTTAAATAAATAAATACATCATTCGCGAGTTTTGTTTTTGTTTTTTAAATAAAAAAACTCAAACCGTTTCCCGTTAAAACCTTTATATATCGAATAAATATACGTTTACGTTCCACTTTTATTCCTTATACAGTTCACTCTATGTTCCTAGGTGCAGTTTTCGGGTCTAAAATTGAAGTGCGTACTGTTTTCAATATACGAACCAGTCCTTCAGAAACAACTTAGGTGGATCTTTCTAATCACATTGCACCCGATATAACGGTTCAAAATAGAATAATATGCGTTTACGTTTTAACTTCTGCTTGAATAAATTATCAAGCTCGTTAATACATTTCAGGACATGGAGCGTGACGAACTTGGCGAGAATGTCAAGACCAAGGATCTGATGAACAAGAATAAGAAGCTGGACGACAAGACTGTACTGTGTCAGACTCCTAGTAAAGACCTAGCAGCTAGCCTGGCCAAACAGGAGAGTAAATATCAAAGTCGGGTCCACGAACTGGAGGAAAAACATGTTCGCTTCAATCACGACTAGTCGTGCCAATCTTGCCTGCTGCACCCGATGTGGTCAGTGCAACCGCTGACGCTAACCGTCTAGTAGACAGCTTCCCCACATTTGGTGAGGAGCTCATGTACTATATTCGGTCTCGTGTACATATGCCTATGAGGCTACGGTGTGAATTGCTGCAAATAATGGAACAATCCGACGCTATTGTCCGTAGTCTGCAAGTATTGTCCGTCAATTTGCAGTTTTCTGTGAAGGAAGTTGTGGATAAACTAGTCATATTCGCCGACGAACATTTTTCTAATTACAGTTGGAACAGCACTCTAAGCCGTAGTTGTTACTGCCGCATGAGTTCTCGTTATTGTTTGTACGAGAATGTTTGCGCAAATCAAACCTTGTTTGAACACCTCAAACTGCATCTGTACATACTTAAATTTCTCAATGCATACCGAGTTTGATACACTAATGTCCAAGTGAATGAGAAT